TCAGAAGTAACCACGCTCGGATAGCAGGGTTAATCGATAACTTTCCATCTGTCAAATTTTAACCAAAAGTTAAAATAATTCGCCAAATGGTTCAGAGCCTAAAGGTACCACAATTTTTGAAATTCATTAAGAAATGGCTAAGGCTGTGAACCATTTGCCGAGTTAAATTTAACTCGTGGTTAAAGATGACATTTCGAAAGTTATTTCTTATGTTCGAAAATCCCCGTGCTGTCGATCGACCGGTAACTTCTTGTCTGTCAGAAGTAACCACGCTCAGATAGCAGAGTTAATCGATAAATTTCCATGTGTCAAATTTTAACCAAAAGTTAAAATTCAGTGCTAACATTTGAAAACGGCACAAAAGCCATTTGTAAACAAATGGTTTGTGGGCCCTTTACTCACTACTTGAAGTACACCCACGCGACACAACAGCAACATCGGGTAGGGGAAATTTTCCCCTTCCTGACGATGCTGTTGGTTTGCGTGGGCGTTCTTCGGGTAGCGAGTAAAGGGCCCACAAACCATTTGTTTACAAATGGCTTTTGCGCCGTTTTCAAATGTTAATAATCCTCCAAATGGTTCAGAGCCTAAGTTATGCCATTGCAAACTTGCCGTTACACGTTTTTCGGAGGCATCGTATTCGGAGTGTTAAAGGAACCCACTGGAGACCCCCTACATTAAACTCTAATTTGGGTAATTCCCTTCTGGAATTCCCAACCCGGAAATCTAATCTAATCGAAACCTCTGACTATGACAATTGGATTGTTTAGGGGTATTGAGGTAAACACATATTCGTGATCTGCATTAAAAATAAAACCAAAATCCAAAATTTCATTAATTTTGGTGCACTGGAACTATTTTAATTAAGTACGATTACATTGGCAAAAGTAACCATCTTAGCGCCCCTTGGTGGGACTTTGTATGGGTGCGAGCTTTTTTTTTTCCTTTGGTTTGTTTTTTTCCGTCGATCTTGTTTTCCGTGCTGAGCACCAATGCTACCGACGCCAGGAAGGCAGCTCCCACACCTGGACCCTACCTATCGACCCATCAACTCATGAACCGGGGACCAACGGCTTTACTTCCCATCCGAAGGAAGGCGTGATCAGAGATGTTATGCCTCAGAACATTCCGGCGGCGCCGTTTGGGATTGAACCCAGACCTACTAGGGTGAGAGGTAATCACGCTTACCACTACACCACCGGCGCCGTTTGGGAGCGAGCTGTCAACGAATAGATTTAGTGTCAACGATCAAAAATTAAATCATGATTTAAACATCGAGATGAATGTCTACGGGATCGATAAAAATATCGTTGTGCTCAGAAAACAAAGCTCTATCAGATAATGTATAAAAATCGGTATATTTTTTAAAGTTAAACAACCCAATTTCGAGACAAAAAAAAATCAAAATATTATTTATTCCGTCAACATCAATTGGACAGTTAACGTTTCCGTCTGTTTGCAACTCTTCATGTCAGTCACAATTAACACACGGATTTTGAATGAATCTTTCTTACACAAATTTGTTAGCAAATCAAGCTGTAAAATAAAATCCCTCAAAAAGCGTCTGCGACTACGCAGTTTATGAACAGCCGCTATTTCGAAGAATATATAAATAAATGCTGTGCTACTACAAACAGAGAGTAGCAATTTCAAATTTGTATGTTTTGTGGAAGCTGACATTTGTGCCTTTGAAGTTTCACGCTAAGGCTTCCTTAGAGTATCACCTTAAGTGATCACCAACTTTCTCACGCAAGAAACAACCGATTATTTTCAACTACAAACTTAGCCGTTTTTCTGGACTCAAAGCTGACATACTCACACCATATATCGTATGTCGTCGACAAAGCGTCCAGAACTTTTGGCTTTGTCTTCAAGATTACTAAGAACTTCACATACATGTACTGCTTGAAATCGCTCTATTGCTCTCTCGTACCATCTACGTTGGAATACTGCACTGCAGTCTGGAGGCCGACTTACAATAATAGGGTCGAGCGAATTGAATCTGTGAAACGACGTTTTCTTCGCTTCGCGCTCCGTAAGCTGCCTTATAGATACCCACTTCGTCTTCCAAGCTACGAGAATCGCTGTCAATTGATCAAAGTCGAGCCCTTACGTATCTGAAGTGATGTTTTTAGAGCCTTAACCGTCGCCGATACACTGCAAGGAAGAATCGACTGCGAAGCAATTCTGCAACAAGTGAACATTAATGTTCAACCTCGATCACTACGCAACAATCTTCCACTTCCACTTCTTAGAACTAATTATAGCTTAGGGAGCGCCATTTACGGTTTGCAGCGAGTGTTCAACCGAGTAGCGTCGATGTTCGCTTTTAGATTTATACATTTTTAGTAACTTGACAATGCTTTCCTTGTTATTTTCGTTTGTAACTGTAGTATAATAAGTAGTCTGTATAATATGTGCTTCTTTATTTTTACAACACATCATTGGTACTATTTCTGTCTGTTGATGCAAACATAACAAATAAACTAAGAAACATTTTCATCATCAGGGAATTTATTTTTCACCATTGAGACATTTGCCCGAGGGGCACGCAATACAAAGAACCGGTGCGTTGAAGTTAAAATGCAATCAAATGTACTTAAAGTAATTAATGCGTATTGAAGTACTACTGACGATAGTTAGAATTAACTATCTGTACTTAATAATTACATTGTATTATACTTTTGTAATTGTAATTGTAATTGTTGTAATTGTTCAGTGCATAGGCTGTGCCTTCCGCTAAGAGGGCTTATCTAGGGACCAACCCCCTAGTCTATACACCTACTGTCCTTCCCGTTGCACTCGTCAGCTCGTGCGATACTCTAGACACACATGGGTGGTCGTATCCGGGTCCTCCCCTGGGTAGGCTCGTGTCCGTCCAGGTTCTGGTACATTAACTTATCTATATGCATGGTAATTATACTTTAAAAACTCACCTTTTGATTATAATGTCGAAAATGCTGAAACTAAATAAAGGTTAGCGATCCATATAAGGTGTGTGCTGCGACGGAGTAGTAATTGAAGGAAATGAGGTTCTGATGTGAAGTATAGGTAATTCTAAAATAGGTAAATCAATTAATCATTAGCTACTAACAGTTACTAATAAATGGGTACGATAAATCACTCATCAATGAGTATTGCCACTCCCACTGAAAAATGGGCAAAACCTTAATCATAAATGGATATTCGATTCCTACCGTGTATTTAAAGTAAAGTTAGGATCTTATCAAGCAAGCACACACCTTTTACGATTCTTATCCTACTTACGGTTTCCTGCACATACGACTTTTCCTAGATACAAGCTTCGTCCAGTATACATTGGCTGTCTCCAACCGGCATGATCCTTTCTGTCTGCTTCCTCTTGCCGGTGCAAGTTTAATTCTTCTTTTCTTGTTCAAATTTTCTTTTTCTCCTATTGATCTTCTGGTCGTGTTCCCATTTGTCCTCAGGCAGTTAATATTAGTACATGATAGGAAGAAAGAAAGAAATAGAACAAGTTAAGTGTGAGCCGCATGCATTGGTTACTTATTTGGGTCATGGTGTTGTCTTCCCTATTTATTTGCCTCTATTCGCTCTCATATCGCAACGTTTAACTCTGGATCAACAATAGAAAAGGGCCCACCAGCACTCGTAAACAAACCGCTCCAAAGCCCCCCACTCACAAAGCGAAGGCCACCCACGCAAACCAACACCATCATCGGATAGGGGAAACTTCCACCTACACGAAGATGGTGTTGGCCCGCGCGAGCAGCCCCCGATCCGTGAGGAACGGGCCCTGGACGGTCTGTCCACAAATGCCGATGTGCCCCCCTCCATTGTTGATCCAGAACTCACCCCCTTCCCTCACACTATTATGGTCGGAAAAGAGAACCCATATTTAGTAATCTATCGCGAACTGCGATGCAGAAGATATTAATAGCAAACTAATCTGGAACTGGTCTAAGACATATGACCCAGTGAGTATTGACACCTAACACTGTTGTGAATGAGCACGGACGCGAGATTTACTAGAGTATTAAATGCAAAACGCAAATTCAAAATAAAACTTGACAAGACATCGTCAATCCCCTTATTCTTGAGCAGGGTCTGACGATATGAATCTGATTTTTGATCAGTGAACGGGCCCCATATGGTACATTTTCTCACTATGAACCTGTCATTTCCAGCCTATCTGAACTATTTAATAAATGGAAACCATAACATGGGTTACGCTTCCCCTAAGCGGGCCCTCCGCATCCTATCTCTGTCTTATCTCAAATGCCAATGCTTTGAATGTATCAATATATACATTGGAAATGACGTTCAATCAAATAAACCCATACCCCACTCACTTGGTCAGGCTTCAGAATCGTCCAGTGGGCAGTGCGCTCTACACTCCAAGTTCCCTTTCTTTCAAATTCACCCCAAATTTGATATTTTACCCCTTTGAGTGTTGATTAATCACAATGAAACATTGTGACAGAGCACGGACTTGAGGTTACTAGAGTATTAAATAATCTAGGGCCTATTTAGGATTATATCTGAAAAATCCAAATTTGGCCAACGCCCACCAATTACATTGTATTATACTTTTATCATGAAATTTCAGCTGTAACTAATGGACTTAAAAAATAGTTAATGGAATACATTTAATTACAGCCGTTGCCTGCGTCGGAGTTAAAGGTTATTGCGTGCCCCTAGCATTCGCCATTACCGTGCCAGCACCATATTTGACGCGTCCCTAATGATGACGCACTCGTCTAATTTTTATCGCATCTCGATTTTGACAAGATACAGACATAACACATAGAATATGTATCGTTGAAAAACACTGTCGCGATGCTACCAACCGACAAAACTTCTAATTTACCGTTAATTGCTTATTCGATGAAAAGTTTGCGAGCGTTATATCTGTTTGCCTATGATCATCCTCCACCCAAAACAAAAAGTAAATTTTTCCAACCCGGAGACTGTTGATCCCTGAACTGTTCACAGAATGTAATTGTCTGAACTCGTAAAAAAGGATTTATCATATTATCAAAGTTTATTCATTCCTAGTCGAATATGAAATACGTTTTATATGCGTGTTGTTAAAATTATGAGTGCTAGTAGTATTAATGTATAAATTAAGTTCACCTAACTAAGTTACTTGCAGGTAATGAACTTCTTAAACGAAGCCAGATTTCCACCAACCACTCGGAATGCCAGCACACTCGTAACCAGCATCACGATGTAGGAAGCCGTCAGCGACACGGCGAACAGCTCCTGGCCATTGAGCAGTGTAATGCAGGACACAAACAGATGACTGATGACGACATATCCGATGTGATAGTAATTCTTCAGATCACAAGCATTGAAAAATATCACACTCCAAAACGTGTGCAGCAGAATCATACAGAGCGATTGGGCTGCACTGATCACAATGAAAATGTTCGTCCCTGCCTTCAACCCAACCGTAGCCGGTCCCACCGAATCGGCCAGAATGTTGACCAGCGAAAAGGCTCCGCTGATCATGCCGAAACCCAACCCGCAGACGTACGACAGGATGTGCTTGTAGTCGGAGATTCGCACGATTTCGGTCACTTCCTGCAGTCCTCTTTCGGTCTTCCGCAGCAGCTTGTACATGAGATAGCGGAATGCTTCCTGCAATGGAAACGGTAATTCGACCATCAACTCACTACACCAGAATGATGGGGAAGAGGTGGCAACCTACCTGGATAAACACGGAGCATATCAGTCCGAATACGATCTTATCCCGCAGGGGGTAAACCGTGAACCAGATGGTCGAGGAAAACAGTAGCGAGACCAGCCAGAAGAAGGAAGCTGCTATCAGTATGATGATCCGGATCGGGTCGTGTGCGATGGTCAGCGAGAACATCGCCAACGGTGGCCCAAAGGCCAGGAATGAACAACCGAAGAATTCCACTACGGTCATGGTTGATTATTGTGGGTTATTACGGAACTAAACTATTAAATTTTATGGTGTATTTTATATTAGAAAGTAGAATGTTTTGATTGACTGCAACTGCAAAAACTGAACTGCGGAATGACTAATCTGTCAGAAAAGATTGTTTGATACACGGTTAAATGTAAATCTACGGATCGAATAGAAAATGTTACTGCTGCTAAACGAGCAAGAAAAAAAAGTCGAGCAAGAAATTTTTTTTCGAGCTGCACTTGGCGCCACCTGTTTGTGAAAAAGATAACCATTAAAAGCTTTTGCAAGCTTTTTTCCTACTAGATTTTTATTATGAAAGGCAGGGTGGCCAGATCCTAAGCGAACACGAAACAACTATGATCCAGTTTTTGATCCAGCCGCATTTCCATTATCCATTACTTCACCCGCGGATAAGTCGGTTAGGTTTTCAAGTTTACTATTATATTTATGTGCGAGAAATGTCTATCGGGATGTGTATTTTGATTTTTGCTAGTATCATTTTTAACAGGAATTTAAGATTGCGCACAGTACGCATCAAATAAATCGACGTGATTGTTGGTATAACTTCCTTTAGTGTGTCATACGCAAATTCAATCCAGAAATGAATTCCACGAAGTACACAACCAACGTTTTCTTACATGATCCTACCCGCAGATATCTTGAGCTGGGTACCGATCGTACCGAAGTTGGAGAAACGTAAGAATTTGTGTCTAATATATTTTCAAAATAATTTTAATTAAAACAAAATGTTGTTTTCAGAAAGCACACATCCACATTCAACAACAAAAGGAATAACAATTATTTATTTCGGCTCGGCCCCCAGTTTTCACTCTGCCAGGGGCATAACACATGATTCGTCCTGCCACGCCTCGCATTCACTCTGGTCTAAAGGTACCTAATATATATATATTTTCCAGTTTTTACCCTGCTGAATTCAAATTTGTTAGAATTGCTACTGGTGTTTAAATTGATCAATAAAAGATGCATACAAAGGGTTTTTGAGCAGTCACGCTAGTGCACTACATGTACACGCGTTTCGAGATTATGAGATGAAACAAATAGTTTTAGTATTCCAAGTTATACTGTATAACGGTGTAACACTTCTTCTTGCGATTGGTGAAGAAACATTTAAAAAATGATAAAAAAATAAGTATGTAGGTAGTTGAAAATGTATGTTTCGATAGTGAGGTTCCACGCGTGTATCCTGCGCAACTGCTGCTGTAAATGTGGGATGTACAAATTACAGTTAGCTGGTAATATCAGTATTTTATAGGTTAAACTCATGCATAATGAAACTGTACGTATGTACCGTTGTACGGATGTGTGTTGAATCTTAATAAATAACACTTTTTTTCTAACAGAGACAGATCTGCAACTCACCATGTGTCTCATAAAGTCACATGAGCATTCAAATCTATTTTGCATATATATGTAGGTATATTCAAGCCATCCACAATATGAAATAAATTTGAACACAGAAAACTGTTTCTTATGAAATTATTGGCATTGTCCGTCTTACCCCAAAGCAAAACCTCAATAGCTGATTCGTCAACCAATCAACTGTCCGTCTTACAAACCCACAGTTTACCTATAGTTCTTGAACTATACCAGATCAATTCATTCTTCAGCAAAGTTGTGCAGCTGGACAATATTCGTCCGCGGTGGATAATTTAGTTCAGAATTGGTTCGTAAGGTGGTGTCATAGTAGAAATAATGTCCTTTTAGTGATAGCTTTTTGTGACTACATCAGGCAAATAAAAAACACTAGCAGTAGAAGTTAAAAAATATACTATCCAACAAGGAAATAGGTAGCTCTATTTCTTGGAAAGAGTGAACTCAGCAGGAAAAAAGCTCTGTACAGCAGCGGAATGTGAAGACAGCAGGGAAAAAGCTCTTACCTACGAGAGGCGTAACAGAAAATGCGAAGCAAGCAGGAAAAAAGCTCTCACAAGGATGATCGCATCAGATTACACACGATTCTTTTTTTGCTGTCCGACGCGGCTACGCCTCTCGTATAGGTAAGAGCTTTTTTCTTGCTGCCTTCACATTCCGCTGCTGTACAGAGCTTTTTTCCTGCTGAGTTCACTCTTTCCTGGAAATTCTGCTGCATTGTAAATTTTTGAACTGTTGTTGATACTAGTGTTTATTTAAGTTACCTTGTCTAAGATACTATAATCTCAGTGACGACGAAGTCGAACGAAAGGAACGGAAAATAATCAAAACATCCGATTAGTTTCCTGTTTTCTACCAGTTTGTGTGAATGATAAAAGCGACTCAAATTTCCATATTTAATATTGCAATGCTGATTAAGCGGTAGAGTATTCGGTTTTTATTGTTGTTGATATAACATATATTAATTATATTTTTTTATCTACAGATTTCATCGTGGAACTGAACTGGCTAAAAAATTACGAGGAGCAAGTTGATACCAGACATCTCCACGGAACACCAGCGGCCGCGCGACAAATCCAGTGCCCCCAAACAACCCGACCGATTACGATTGATTGCCATTTGCAACGAAGGCAATCGGAGAGTTAGGAGCATTAGGTAAATTAAATTGATTTATCTTGAACTAATCCTGTTCCCTTTCGTTTTAGATTTTTCCAAAATAATCGAAAAAAAAACAACAAAAATAGCGTGGGAAAGAACTTCTAATCTCTGATTGATCATCGCGAAATACTGATGTCGAGGAATGAAAAACGAACAAACAGCTCGAGAGTGTACCAGTGACTCCGAATCCACCATGTAGAACTGCAGCTCAAAAGATGCACTGGTGAGTACCTTTTTTTTTTAACATTAACTAATATAAGTAATTAAATTACTAACATAGAATAAAATAAGTTTTTTTTTGGAAATTTTTAAGGCTACGCAATAACTTAGTAGCGAGTGTACTGCCGTTATACTCATAACTGTCCCATGTTCTATGCAATCCTTATGCACCATGGGACTCTTATGCGTATAACGGCAGTGTAGTACATGCCAAAATAATTACTAATTTCAATTTCGCTAACACCCACAATTTTCGACAATTTTTTACCTTGATTGGTTTTTATTTGTGCATTTCCTTGATTGGAAAATGCCATAGCTTGTTCCATAACCTGCTTAATTATTTCTTCGATAATTATCCTACCTTTCGGTCTGAGAGATGATGAACTTCGTGGAAAATTGTCCACATAGACAAAATAATAAAAATTATAATCTTTTTATTTTGCAATTTTGGAATAATTTCAAATAAATTCCAAAACGAAAAACAACTTCAAAACTTTTAAATATGTACACGAGAAATTGCAATATTATCTCATAAAATTAAAATTCAATTAACCGAACCATGTACCTGCTTCCTATTGTGTTACCTGAATTATAACGAATACACGTTGTATACGAGTACCCCGAATAGAACGTATGACTCGTCTAATTTTGCATAGCATTTGCAATGTAAAATTAGACGAACTATACGTTATATCCGAGGTACTCGTATACAACGTATATTCGTTATGAGTCAGGTAGCACAGTAGGGGCCTTTAACCTTTAACTCCAACGCAGGCAACGGCTGTAATTAAATGAATTCCATTAACTACTGCTTTAATTACATTAAAACACAATGTAGAACATTAACTACCTTTTAACTCCATTAATTACAGTTGATTACATTAACTACATTTTCAATACTTCTAATTACATTAATTACGGATAGATAATTTTAATTACCGTCAGTACTGCTTCAAAACGCATTAATTACTTTAAGTACTTTTGATTGCATACGCACCGGTTCTTTGTACTGCGTGCCCCTCGCCTACTTCAGCATCATTAAATATTACTATGACAAGATTTAAAATATTCGAAATAAAAAATAATTAACCTAAAATTTATTTCAAAATCAAACGTAATTCTCTTGTTAAATTTAAGCATAGAAATTTTTACGAATTCGATGTAAATTATCCTAAAATTTAACTCAACTCAAAACGTACTACACGTATAAAAATTATTCCTAATAAAACGTAACTAATTCAATGGCAACGCAAACTAAAATTACAATTCTAAACTGTAGCTTAAACGAACATTAAGCCTAAACTTATATACAAAAAAAAAATAATTCAAATTCGAACTACAACTACAACTGATGAAATTTTTTAATTTTTAACACGGTGGCTTATAAAGCACCGCAATACCGCATTACAATTTGACAGGAGGCGGTTACCTAACGGTTGTGAGGAGCAACATCAATAACATCAAATTCTGTCGGGCAAACCAGCTCCTGTCATTTCGTAAAATGGACTATTGTGTGGGACTGATATTTCTGACTGAAAGTGATATCACCCCGCGGTGCGTGATTTCAGAATCTTTCTAATTTTACATTCAAACTATGTTACACGGCGAATGAGAATGACCCAAATTTGAGTTTAGTTCACTCATAATCGCCAAAAGTGCTGGAACTCAGCGATGAGTAAATTTGCCTCATGTTTTCCTGGCTTTTTCCAGGATTTTCCAGGGAAAAATCCCGAATTTGAGAAAAGTAAAGATTGGATTCACTCAGTCTATTGGTACTACTCCGAGACTGAATAAAATTTTCGTCAATTTCCTCATTTTCCGGCAGATTTTTTAGGTTTTCCACAGTAAGCCATGAGACAAATTTTACTCATCGCTGAGTTCCTGCACTTTTGGCGATTATGAGTGAACTAAACTCAAATTTGGGTCGTTCTCATTCGACGTATAAGAAAGGGATTTTTTTGCTTTGGTTTGCTGTTGTTACTTGTTGTTGTTAATAATGCTGAGCAATCAGAATTGATGTACGTTTTGGTTCATCATCTTCATAATCGTTTTTGTGAACAACAGGCTTCCTGCGCTACATTGAATATGATGAACATATTACCCAGTCCACCAATTCAACAGTAAGCAGGAACAAAATGTAGGTAGGTACAGCAGCAAAATGCGAAGCAAGCAGGAAAAAAGCTCTCACGATCGCAGAGTACACACGATTTTTTTTTGTGCTGTCCGGCGCTGCTATGCCTCTCGTAGGTAAGAGCTTTTTTCCTGCTGCCTTCACATTCCGCTACTGTGCAGAGC